TGATAAAAACAGCAGTTTCAGTAGCTCTACTCAAAGCCAAATAGAGAGACTCACCGTACATATAACCTTTAATCCAAACACAGCATTAAACTCAAAATAAAATAGACTTGAACGCTGCTGTGAGCAAACAGTAGTGGAGTTAATGATGAGATAATACAGTGTCAGGATCAGACATTTAATGCCCTTTCTATAAGGTCACACATGGAAACCTCAGCTGATCATTAAGCCGCCTGTATAAAACCAATGTGGTGCATTGTTTTGGTAGAATTTTGTTTGTGAATATATTTCTGCTGTGCCATTAATCTTCCACCACAGACGATGAAGCTGCAGGTCCAAAATGTATTTTTCCTCAAGTCCTTTTGAGTTCCCTGTTTTGAAACTGAGGTGGAAATGCAGACAGCAAAGACAATCAATCAAACAAGCGATTCTCTTATCCGGTATTGTCTACCTCATCTGTAGCTCTGCTGTCCTCTGATTTCTTATTGTTTTCTGCAGTTGTCATGTTTGCTGTAACCCTGTGTTTTGGCCACTAACTTCACCTTCATAGCCACACACAGCTCGGTTAAGGTACACACCCAAACACATCATGAACACCACTGAAAGACATTCAAAGACAACATGTTTATGTGCAATTCACCATGGATTGATCAGGGGAAATCATTTCTTATTTAAGTTTATTTAAAACAGTTACACAGTACGTTCTTTATAAAACACATTTTGAATATTTAAATTGATAGTGAAACACCAACTTCCTACTCCCTACCCACCTTACTCTCTCTGCATGTTTCTTGTCTGTCTATACAGTAAACAGGTAATATTACAAAAAAATAATTAAAAACAAATAATACAGATTTTTTTTTTTATAATGTGGGTTTCCTGTAGGGACAAATAGGAATAAATAATAAAACTATTCATCTGTACACAAACAGACAGGACGAAAAAACAACAACATATACATACATAGTCACATCACAAGTTAGCTATTGTTATTGATGCTAGCTAATTAGCTAATGATTGATGTAGATTAAATAGCTAGTTAGTTAGTGTTTCAATCTGTAGGAAAACACTAACTAACTAACTAACGATGGATTTGTATTAGCTACCTATAGCTGTCGTTTTGCTAACATTAGCTAGCTGATTAATATACTGTGTTGCTTTTATCTTTTAACCATCTTCAAAAGTTGGTTGTTTTTTCAACATAGATAAGCGTAGCATTTAGCATAGCTAAGCAAAGAAAAGGAGAAAATTGCCCGAGGCTAGCTCAACTGTTATTGGAGCACAAAGGGGGATAGAATTGGCAGAGAGAGAAATATACATTTCTTGTTAGATTACATTTTTAAAATGCCTGAACCCAACCTAAAAGCCTCATTCTTTGTTGGCACCCATCGTCTTTGGGTTGTAGTCCACATATCACGTAGCGTCACAAAGATGTGAACAATATAGACCTGGAAAGTCACGTGTAAATGCAGAAACTGGATTCAGTCTGGTTCATTGGACCACAGCTGTAAGAGGATAGTGAGTTACAGCCCTGTGTCAGTCTGTTTCTGATATAAAGTTAACTAGCATAACGAGTTCAACACATTCTCAATCCCATAATCAAGTGCAGCTCCAGGTTGAGAGGTTAATGAGATGCCCCCCCACTCAGACACTACTAGATGGTCTCAGAGGACATGAAAAACTCAGCCATGCTCCAAAACAATGAAGTGTTGCAATGTCTTTTGCTTAGAGCAAGTTACACTTATTGGTTTAACATGCTGTAATTAATCTTTTACTTTTACTGTGATGTTAAGAGGAGTCGAAATAGAAACAACTTTATGCTCTAAACGATATACAATATGTAATTTCAGCTTCTCCCGGTTAGGATTCCTTCAGTGTTCATGGTTCAGGAGGTTTCTACCGGGAGCCCAATTATCCACAGAGGTCTCCTCCTCTCCAAAACAAATTTACTTTGATATGCCCATAAATTTCTTACCATCTAAAATCGTTTCAGAATACCAGATGTTATTAGTGTACTGTTTGTAAACGGGATTGTGTGTAACCAGGCGAGTTGCCATTATTTCCTGCTGCAACGAAGTCAATAAACTGCGCAGTACCAAATGAGAGCAGCTCAACTTGTAGACTCGTCACCTACATCCTATATAGTCCCATTCCATAACTGTCATGGCGTACAGCCAAATAAAAACGCCCACAAGAGATCTCAATATTCTTCATAAAGACTAGTATCTGACCACATTAACCAATGAGTGATGAGGTTATACGAGTTAGGATTTCACATTGCTCTATATAGGAGGCTCTTGGCGCTCCTATCTTCGGCTACAATTCAACTATATCATCTTTGGGGTCGTAGAAGGGGAAGGACCGTTGCAAACTGCATACACTGCTAGATGTCACTAACACTCCCTACACCACATTGGAGGAACTTTAAGGATAATAAGGGGATTTTGTCTGTAAATTATAAGCAAGACTTTTCCATTATAAACAGTCACAAGCTGATGGTTATACGCTAGAATAGTCCTTTGTAATGGATTCGTACTACCTACCCGCGTTACGCCGTTAAAAATATACACATTAGACCTCCTATTTCAGCAAATCGAGATTTTTCAAGACACATGTTTTAACACTAGAGAAGAACTTTAAAGTTTATTCCCGGTAGCCGGTTGTGGATCCGCTGCAATCCAGACGCTAATGGTTAAGAACATATAAATTCTTAACCCTTGATAACATAGATTTTGGCTTGAATTCACATTCGATGTTCTATATTCTTCATCGGAAGAGCCAATATGAGTGGATCTGCAATTATACAACGAAAATGAAGGACCAAACTCTAAATGATTCACCGCAAGTGTTACTGAGAAGAAAACACATACAAAAGAATTCCGCACTCATCTTCAATTTCAATACAAATTATTTTAAT